TTTCCTTGGATATGGTTATCAACAAGTATCCATTTCTGTTTTTATTTATTTTGTCTACTGTCGTATTTACCTGGTCATCATACATCATGTTTGATACGACGTAAGATTTCGGAATAATTAACTTTTTTGGGAAGAATTCATGATTTGAGTCCTGTTCTGACAGATGTACCCTTGCTTCCTTTTTTTTTTTCTGTTTCTTTTCTTCGCTGAACTTTATGCCATTCATCTACCTTGATTCGTTACATATTTCTATGATTGACTGATGTCTGGCAAACCATTTTTCTCATTAACGTGACTAATTCTTATATTTTGAGAGTTTCGGTTACTTAAGGCTTTGCTTGTGCTCTGCCGTACACTTTCTTCTATATGGGCTGTTACTAATATTACTTCCGTATCTTCCGTGGTTGGCCTATTTCCTCTATCATTTGGTTGTCTAAATCAATAAATCTTTTATTAAAGCCGCTAAGTTGCCTGTTTTTATCTTCACCTCTTTATGTATGTTTGACTTTGATTTGACAATCATGTGCAGGTCATTTATCAGAATTCAAGGCTCTTCAATGACTCATTACGTTGTAAAATGACGTTTTCTGAAATTATTTTTGACAGTTCAGCCATTGGTTTTCTTTTATTATTTACGTCGTCGCATGAGCTTGCTAGCGGATTTGGGCTACATCTGATAACCTGGGCATGGCGCTGTGTTTCAAAATATTTGATGCACTGATTGTATCAACAGAGCTTCATTATTTGACACTATGTCCCCTCTGATGGGAACATTTTAACAAAAATTTTACCTGCAGCCAAAGGCGAGATTCACTCAGCTCACTGACTTATAAGTAACTTATTAAAACTGATAGAACTATTATAACTTTTTACGACATTCGGTTCGTACTGATAAGGAGACGTGCTGATTAGTTTTTAGCGGAGGCAAGTCTAGCCGTTCCGAAGATACGGGGCAAAAAGTGTCAAAAACGGTAACACAGTTTTTAAGAGAACGGAGCGTCCGAATTTAAAAATTCAAAAAACATTTTACTTGTATTGACAAGATGAATAACTGATTAAATTTTTGGAATTTGGATTAAAGAAACGTTCTGATTAGTTTTTGGCATATGCAGGTCAAGCTGTTTCGAAAATACGGGGCAAAAAGATCCAAAATTGTAATTCAGTTTTTGAGAGAACGGAGCGTCCAATTTGTATAATACAAAAAACATTTCATTTGTATTTATTAAACGAAGAATTGTTGAAATTTTTGGAAAGGCAGGTCTAACGGTTATGGACTCGTAAGTTATTGTAATCGTCCCAAAATCGATTGAAATTTTTGCATTTTTCGACGTTTTGAAGGTTTCTGAACATTTTAGCATACTTCAGAAAAAATGGATGTGTGTGTGTGTGTTTTGTGTGTCCGCATTTTTTCGTTCAATTGCTTGTGTTGACAAAACAATTGGTTTTGAAAAAAACAAAATTTGTAATTTTTTAACTTTCCAAAAGTTTGTTTTCATAAAAAACCCGAATTGCTAATTTTATGTTTTCTCTCTCGACGTTTCAAGCCATTCTGAATCGTATGAGACCAAACTTGGAAAAAGTGTGTGGTGTGTGTGAACAGATTTTTTGCCGTAAATCGACGTTTTAAAAAATTTAAAAACCATTTGATGTATCTCGATGAGGACTAGCGTTTCTAAGTTTTATGCGACGATCGGCCGAGCCGTTTCTTTGTAAATAGCGGAAAAGTGAAAAATTTTTCGTCCACGTTTTAGCCCGCAATTCTGAATAGATTTTGAAAATTCAAAAACTGTTCGAAACATATTTGTTGGGAATCGACCTGATTAATTTTGGTAAAGATCGGCCCGGCCGTTTTCTTGTAATGAGGTGATAAAAAATTTTTTTTCGACGATTTTCGTTAATTTTTTTTTGACGGTAGATACCATAGTCTTATAGATCATACTAGAATATTACGGTCCTACGACAAGTCGTTTAATTTTAAAAAATCGTCAAAGTTTGCAAAAATTAGTGTCGTTTTTTTGGCGTTTGTCAAAGTTGTAACTTTCATCGACGTTTGCTCAAAAACGCCTGAACCGATTTCAAAAATCTAAAAGCCAATCGATGTATTTTGATGTGGATTATTTTTTCTCAGTTTTGTGTAGCGATTGGCCGAGCCATTTGTTTGTAATTTAAAAAAAGTATTAAATTTTTCGTCCACATTTAAGCTCATACTACTGAATCGATTTTAAAAAATCAAAAACTGTTCGATAGATATTAGTTGGAAATGATACTGATTAGTTTTAGTTGAAAATCTATCGAGCCGTTTTCTTGTAATTAACTGTTTAAATTAAGTCGATTTTCATGGAACTGTTTTTGGCGATATATATCATGCTCTTATAGAACTTACTGAAATATTACGGCCTTACGACAAGTAGTTTAATTTTAAAAAATTCATCAAAGTTTGAGAAAATGTGTAGTTTTTTTCGCGTTTGTTAAACGGTATAACGATAGAGTGTTCGTTCGTTTTCAATTATGTATAATGAAACCACTCGGAATACTTTTAATCACTCATAAATTAATTTATTTTAATTGATTAAATCGATTATTCGGGAATTTCATGTAACTTGCCTCAAGGCAAAATACCGCCCTTTTTTTCCTAGCCTTCTAACTACTTGTAGATCGGCATCTGCTAATTTGATTGATAAGTGTAGATCTAACCAATTGAGCATATGTTTGTCTAAATGTCGTATGGAGATTCCAGTTCTTCGATTCCGGACTATGTTTCTTTGCCTCGCCTGTTTTTCTAGGAAGTAGTTTCTCTTTTCTTGGTTGTCTACTATTTCCTTGAGTTTCCTCTAATATCCTGTTGATGTTATGTGTAACCTGCTCGACCAATAACAAGAATATGTCCATTAACCAAATGGAGATTTTAATTAATTATTGTTTACTTAATTATATTGTAATTAATTAGGTTAGGTAAATTCTTGTTACTTATATTAATTAAGAAATATAGGATTAAAATAGAATTTATTTTGCTTTGTTTCTAAAATTGCATCTGTAAGTCGTATCATGATACTACTATTACTATACATAAATACAATAACTAGAAAATAATATGAAAAATAAATTTAATATTTTTTGGGGCGCAATATGGTCAGAATATATTCTGACGGTTTAACAGTTTAAATGTACGATGCCTTTGCGCCGTGTATCGTTTGCATTTCTTAGAATATTGCAGCCTCTGGTCTATATCCTTCACACAAGGGCTCTTTTTTATACCTAAATATTTCCTGTACGCTGTCGACAGTTATAATTTTAAGTTAGTCTAGATAATGCAACGGGACAGTTAACATATATATTTAATCATCTCTATAATTCTAATAGTGTGAAGATAGATTATAGATTCTATACAAACCGCAGTGTTTTATTCAGTAATGATCAAATTTGGAACGGTTATCATCAGATTCCGATTATTTACTTACAGTCCACTTCAATATTTATTACTGATAGTAGCCAGCCCAACCACTATGTGATTAGTGTTTACGGTATAATTGACGGCATTTAGATTTTTTATTTTTTATTTTAACTCTGTTTTATTCAGCAATCAGAAATACATAAGAATTTTTATAAGCTAAATTGACAATATTTGAGAGCGATGTCTAAGAAGAACTCCAATGAGATCTTCTTAGTTTAACAATTAAAAAGATAATGATATATTGAATCTAATCTAAGACTGAATCTAAAGGCCATTGACGTTTTAATCTTCTTACGCCAGGTTGGATAATGTCGCCTATTGATGGGTTTGAATGTGATTCCAGTTCACGTTTGTATTTTTCCTTAAATTGGTTTCATTTGTAACGTACCACGGAGAATTAAATATTGTACGTAAAATTTTTAACTGAGTTCTCTGCATTATGGCTATATTTGATTTGTAAGCACATCCCCAGAGCTCAATTCCATAGGTCCAGATTGGTTTAATGATTGATTTATATAGCAGCAACTTATTTTCAACAGAGAGCTTAGACTTTTTACGCAGTCAATCAAATTCTTTCATTTTGATCATTATTTGCTGCTTTTTAGTTTTTATGTGGCTTTTCCAAGTAAGTCTGCAGTCTAAATGGAGACCAAGATATTTCACTATATTCTGTTTCGGAATCTGGACGTTATTTAAATAAATTGGAGGACGCGAACCCTTTCTCATGGTAATTGTGATATGATTTAGATTTAGTAATATTTTTAAAGCAACCCTGACTAGTGAATAGTTTTTTATTGATTTTAGTCATCTAATAATGGTTATAATTATACCGTGTTCTAAACTGACATTGGTTTGTTTTATTAAAATACATTATACTTTTTTTTAAATACCAGATACTTTTGTTGAAAACCACTATTTCACTAGATGCGCAAAACTATCCCCTGCCACCAAAAGGATTTTTCATGCGGCCGTCCATGCGGAAAAGAATTACCATGTGGTAAGCATTCATGTCTCTTGCCCTGTCACAAAGGTGCATGTCTACAAGACGGGAAGACCTGTAGTCAACCATGTGCTACGCCTCGTTCTTCTTGCAATCATCCTTGTCGTAGCCCTTGCCATGAAGGTATTTGCCCAGACACACCTTGCAAAGAAAAGGTAAATTTAATATATTGTTTACAGTGTTGTATATTTTATTTGAATATATTATGTTGTTATTTTTGACAGGTATTGGTTTCATGTCAATGTAAACTCCGTTCCACAACCAGAACATGTTCAGAAACGTCGCGCGATTATCAACGAATCGCTTCAAGCTTATTGGCTTCTAAAATGGCGGAAATGCAGAGAGGGGCTACAATTGACATTCAAGACATTCTTAATAATCGTAATGTTAATTTAAAAACGTGAGTAATAATAAGTACTAAGTGATTTATATTTATAATTATACTTCATTAAACACACACACACAAACACACATATATATATATATATATATATATATATATATATTTGAATAGTCTTGAATTTGATGTTGATATATATGTTTAATTTGAGTTTAAATTCGGGCGTAACATCAATAAAAATAGTATGAGAGTTTTTTTAAAAGTTTATTTATTTAAAATCCATACGTTTCGGCTAGCATCTTAGCCATCATTCAGTGGTAATCAAATCTTATATATAAAAATGGATCGCAAAATGTGTTGGTAAGCGCATAACTCAACAACGCCTAGACCAATTTGGCCAATTCTTTTTCTAAAATGTTCGTTGAAGTCCGAAGATGGTTGTTATGGCGAGAAAAAAAACGAATAATTGCCGGGAAAACCCTAAAAACAGCCCTTTTCTTCTTTAATCGAGTAGGCAACGCAATTTGTAAAAAAAACAATGATCTATGTCATGACATTTTGTGTAGTTTTTGATAATCTAATTTTGAATATATTTATATAAACATAGAAATATCTTTCTATTCTCGCACCATGTTCCTAATGCGTTTCCATGGATGTTCTCGCACCATGCATCCTAATGCGTTTCCAGTGCGTTTATGGTATTATTAAGTGTTTGTGGTATTAATTTAGAAGACTCATGTTTCTCACATGGAAAATTGTATGTTGTTTGTTCCCGTATTGGAAAACCATCAGATTTGTTTGTCTATGCGCCAGGTAATCAAACAAAAAACATCGTTTATCACAAAGCACTACAATGAAAATTGAACTGATTTTTGAATTATGATTTACATTATTAAAATTACTTACTTTTAAATTCTTATAGTGTTTTATTTAATTATTTTTAATTCACACCGAATTATTACCAGGGTGACGGTTCTGTTGAGGATAATTTTTTACAAAGAATAGAAAAAAGGTAGGCACAAAACACCGCCACATTACAAATTTTTTTGACAGGACGAAGTCTGCCGGGCCGGCTAGTTAACTATAAAAATTGAAACTAAATAAATTATATGTAAAAATTACTATAATCTTGGAAAGTATGGGTGTAAATTATACAACTATACAAAATTATACAACTATACAAATTATACGGCCTTCCTAAAATACACAAAACAAACCTACCTTATAGGCAAATTATCCAAGTATATTAGTAACATCTTAACAACAATAACAAAACGATCCCCATATTACATAAAAAATTTCTTTAAGCTTGTCAAACTTCTTAATAACATTTCCATTCCCAATAATTATAAACTAATTAGCCTAGACGTTATATCCTTATTCAAAAATGTTCTACTAGACTTAATACTAGATGCCATCACTATCAGATGGAGTGAAATCAGCCTTCACACCACATTATCCCTACATTGGTTTATTGACAAATTCATTGTCTCTAACACCTATTTTGAATTTAATGGATCCTTTTATTACCAAATTTTTGGCCCCCAATGGGATCGCCCGCATCTCCCTCGTTAGTAGAAATTTCTTTGCAACTAGTAGAAAACAAAATATTTATAATTTATATTTATTTGATTAGCTTACCAAATTAATTCGGATACCAAAACTTCATCAAAACATTATAGATCACAATAAAAAATCGGCATATTGAATTTTAAATTAATCATAAATAAAATTTTGACAGTTCAAAAAAAAATTAACGACTTCAATAAGAAACAAATAAATCAATTAATCGAAGTTATGTTATAGGCAATATTGCCAAACAAATTATAGATACAAAACATTATTGTAAAATAAATATCATATTATATTAATTTTCAACCAAGAAGGAAATATTTTGACATTATAAATTTAGTCCATATTGGATATATGAAATTGACATTCACTATTTTTCAATTAAATGCAAATGTAAAAAATCAAATATTTGTATAAAAAATTGTATATTTAGATAAAGATACTACGTTGATTTAGACTAAAATCTAATTTATTCATTAATTAAAAAATATGAAAAACAAAATTAAAATGTATAAAATTATTTATTTCTACAATATTCGTGTGTTGATTTAGCCAAACTTATTAATTTAACAATTACACAATTTATTAATTGATGACATAAAATAATTAATAATTTATTAAAAATATATAATATTTAGATATAAGGTCATTTAATTAGAGATATTTCTTAGTTGAAACATATATACAATATTTCATTGACACAAAATTACAATAAAAAAACACTATGATGCGATTTAATTAATTTTTGAAGTATGAAATGTCAAATAATTTTGAAATTTTTTTGAAGGTTTTTAACTATTTGTCAGAAAGAATATTTTATTACAAATTCATACCCATATCAAGCATCAAAGTAATAAATACTATTTATAAAATGACATATTATTTTTAGACAATATGATTTTATTGCATATTTTAATCATATGTTTTGACATTTGCTAATTCAAAATAAATTAAAAAGAATTGAAAACAATGTCATAAATCGGATATTTATGAAAAAATATCTAATATATTAATGTTTCACTTGATTTCAAATTAGAAATATAAAAAAAATTAATTGCGATACCAAAATAGATAGTATACATATAAAATTATAGTATAAATATTACAATTTTAATAAATAATCATCCATTATTTTACAGTACAAAAATTGATAAAAAATTAATAAAAGCGCCAAAAATCAAACTTAAAAAAAAAATTCATTGAAATCGATGAGTGTCTAATCATAAATTTATGGAAAAATTTCAAAGAAAATATTAAGGGCTTATAGCAAGTTCCCAATAGTATGTGATCTATGAAACCATTCCTAAATACATCATCATAGAACATGTTAAAATATTAGCAAGGTAAATAGAACGTAATACCAAATAGGATATAACAAATTTATAAAAGTCACTTGGTTATTCATTATAAATTTTGTAATGTACTCATTTATTCAAATCTTTAATTATTACATTTTATTTATTATTTAAGTTAAAATAAAAAAAAACACTTTAATCAATAGTATTGATCCATTATATTCAAATTTCAATACGTTTTTATTTTTTATATTATATTATTTTTATTATATACGGATTTAAATTTCAATCAGGTGGATTTTAATAAGGGCCGTCGCAGCGCGAGGCTGGGTATGCTGGTATATATATATATATATATATATATATATATATATATGTTGAAAATGTTTAAATTTGATGTTGAAATGTATGATAGATTTCTTGGAGGGCGTAACATCAAGTAAAAAAAAGTAAAGTAAAGATTTTTTTCAAAACATCTTTATTTATCCATACGTTTCGACGTAAAATTCTACGTCATCTTCAGTGGTTCTACAATTTAAAAAACAGAAAGTAACGTTACAATTTGAATATACATAAGCAATAGTAAAAAGAAAAGTTTTAACTAAAGAGAATTGCAAAAAACATTACTTACTTGAATTATTTATATTATCACTAACACATATTAATATAACTTGTAAAAATTAATAATTATAGACAAGCACTAACTGTCAGTAATTTCTTTTTTTAATAAAAAGAATAAAAGATAAAAAGTGATTAATAAATAAGATATTATACGTAATACACTTGTATCCGAGGCCAGTGCCAAACAGAATAATATGTTTGTAAGTGTCCGAGATGTGAAGTCAAAATTTTAGAAAAAACAAACACATGTGCTGGTTTTTGACCGAACGTCTTGGCGCGCTAAGCAAGTGTGCGTGATAGTGTTGTGCAACCGTGGTGTTAGGTATTCGATATGAATTGGGAAACATTATTTAGAACAAATTGGTAATTTTCGCAAATGAAGCGAAACAATAATTTCGATTCAAGAAAATATAGGCCGATTCTGAAAAGCGCCTTTGTGAGACTTTCGATTCGTGATGAAGAACCTTTGCGTCATAAAAATTGAAAGTATGGTTATTTAGTTTTAAATGTTCTGTGATCATTGTTTGCCCTTGATTTTTGTTTTTTTGAATTATTATCGTGTTGTTTCAAACGTTTGATAAGGTTCTGTCCTGTTTCGCCAATATAGATGGAATCACAGTCATTGCAAGATATTTTATAGACCACATTGGATACTCGTTCTAAACTAGTGCGCGGCTTTAAATTTGAGAAGAGGGAGTTAAGAGTTAGATCGATGTTGCATACTAAACGGAGATTTGCGTTGTAAAAAAGTTTTTTCCACATCGGATAAAGTTCTTTGATGTAAGGAAGGCAAATGGTACCTTCAAAATTATTATCTTTTGTGGAAATTAAACTTAGGTTGGGGTTAGTTATTTTGTTTTTTAAAAAAGTGAGTCTATTGTTTATGACGGATTTTATAAGATGTGGGGGATAGGAATTTTGTGTAAGGGTTTTGAAAATTAAATCTAAATTTGAGGTCCAAAATTGTTCGTTAGAAAGGAGGATAGCATGGTCTACAAGATTAATGATAGTACCTACCTGACCAAGTAGGTTTTTGGTACCAGTTAGTGATAATGCGGTTGTCTGATTTTGACATCCAAGAAGCTGATAGAGTTATTTTGTTCTTTTTCAAAAGTGAACTGAATGTGTTTGTTAAACGAATTGAAAGAATGAAGCAATAAGTCAAAATTTTGAGGAGGTATACAAGTGATAATGTCATCAACATATCTGTAATAAAAATAAATGTCTATGTTGATGGAATTAAAGACTCTAGTTTCTAAATGTTATAAAGATAATTCGGCTAGGGCAGGGGATATAGAAGAGCTCATGGGAGTGCCAAAAATTTGAAGATAAAAATGGTCATTGAATTCAAAATATGTGTTCGTGATTATGAATTTGATCGATTCTAAAAACCAATGTAATGAAAATGTAGTATGGTAAGAGATTTCATCCCATCTAGCTGTTATAGCATCTAACATTAATTGTAAGGGGACGTTGGTGAAAAGGGAAACAACATCTAGACTCACTAATAGGGTTTCGTGGGGTAAGACTATATTATTTAATTTATTTACAAATTCAAAGGAATTTTTTATGAAATGAGGGGATTGGACAGTTATGATGGAG